TAAACGTCCTAATATAAACATGCTAATTTAACCATGCTAATGTAAACGTGCTAATGTAAACGCGCTAATGTAAACGTGTTAACGTAAGCATGGTAACATGAATGTGTTAACGTGAACGTGTTAATTTAAGCATGTTAGTGTAAACTTAACGTGAACGAGTTGACATGAACGTGTTAATTTAAATACGTTAGCGTGAACGGGTTAATAAACATGTTCATTTGAATGTGTCACGTGTTCAGAGCTCCCTGTACGAGGACGGTCTGTGCAGTGGATCTCGTCGAGTCTCTGGCTCCAGCTCCCATGTAAGATGATTTAACCGTCTAGTCATTTAACAACATTTGGACTGGTCCTACAGTCGTGCACACCTGTTTGAGCTGAATGTGAACATGTGCTTCTGTTTGCTCTAGATTCAGCTCCTACACTGAAACTATCTGGGGGGTTAGATACTGTGTTTCAGTGACGGTGTCTTATTTCTGTAGCCTTTAGAGTACAGTACCGGTAGTTATCGCGGTTCTCGGGCCTCCAGCAGAGCCAGCTCAGCTCGGACCAGTCCAGTGGTGAGAGCTCCTTCTCCGGTTCTGTTTGTGCAACATCTGCTGATTTATTAACCTTTATTTAACCAAGCAAATCACAGATCTCTTTAGCAAGGGAGGCCTGGGCCTGAAGGCAGCCTAACATGCATGTTTTTGGTCTGTGGGAGGAAACTGGAATGCCTGGAGAAAACCCACTCAAGCACGAGAAGAACATGCAAACTCCACACAGAAAGATCCCAGGTCCAACCGGGGATTAAACCCAGGACCTTCTTGCTGTGAGGCAATAGTGCTAACCACGGAGCCATCGTGCTGATCTGGGTGCCGTTCCTGTAACTGCATGAACCTAATAACCTTTTAGTTTAATATATAAAGTCCTGCAGTGACGATGGTCCGGGAACCTAACCAGAACTGTGTGGTCCAGCTGTCACTGTGGTGCTCTCTGTTGGCACATTTTGTGAATTCTTTAAAACATTCGTCTGTTTTTTTGTTCGGAGAACCAACGGGTATCTTCAGGTGAGGATGTGACTTTACAGCATGTTTGGAGTTTGATGTGAAATTGAACACCTGCAGTGAAATTAAAAAGTTTCAGCTGCTCTTTGATACTGGAGTTGATACTAATTTTTTTTTTTTACAATTTTGGTCTTGTGGGTGTAAAGTGTTCATTATTTCCTGTATGAAGCTGGTTGAAACACTAGATTTAGTATTTATGATAAATTGTCAACAATCGTCTCCCGTGTCTTGACTTCTTCGGCTGTGTTTTATGTGAATGTGTAAGTTTTGTCTGGTGTTTTCTTGCTCTGTTTCACCTCCTGCTGGTCGTTCAGGATAATTGCGGCTCTGTTGCCAGTTTTCTGATGAGCGGCACCAGAGACCTGGACCATGTTACTATTCCTGACTTTCCTGAAGTGAGTCTGTTCTCCAGAGGCCGAAGTCATGATGTTAGCTGAAGTTTCTGCTTGGTTGGTTTTTGTGGCTGCTGTGTGTTTTTGTTATGTTTTGTTGAGGGATGATTTATTCTAAGCCTGTTTTTGTTTTTTAATTTATGGTGGACCATAACGTTTGGAGTGATTTCCAACACTGGAGTTTTTATAATTATTGGTTGCGTTAAGTGGACCTGAACAGCTCGTAGTCTGTTTGGATTTATTGCCATTTTATCAGGAGTTCGTCCTTTTCCTCATCTTCGTTTTTTCTGACCGTTTATCATTTTTCTCCACAGGTGGAGGACAAAGATTATCTTGAGAAGGTGAGGAACTATCACTACTTCTTCCTATCATCATAGCAGACATCATATTACTGTGCAAAAGTCCTGATCATGTTATTCCATGCAGTCGCGGTTTAGTAATCAGAATTTTCAACTGTTTTTTTTTCTTCAAATTACCAAATAGTGCCAAATTACAATTATGTAAAAAAATAGTCATTATTTTAAGTCCTCAAAAGTCACTAGGAGCCCCCAACAACTGCCAGCAGCCCCCAACAGTCGCCAACAGCCCCCAACAGTCGCCACCATCCCCCCAACAGTCGCCAGCAGTCCCCAACAGTCGCCACCATCCCCCCAACAGTCGCCA